TTAGCAGAATTCACCTTACTCATGCTTAATATTTCAGTTTAAAAATTCACATCCATATAAAAAAATTGAGATAATTTTTTATATGTAGAAAAACTATATAAATGTACTATATCATATTATCTTCGTTTCTTTTCCAGCTGCACGCTCCCCTGTGCCCTCTGGTGTCCAAAGGGAGCTGCAGAAGAGACCTCAGCAGCTGCTTTTGACTAATAGCGCCACCAATCCTTCCTTTTACTTCTCTTCCCCCTCCTCTGGATCACCACACACCCCACCCTCACCCCCAGCCTGGGAGAGCCCCAAACTAAAGCCCCAGCACTCCTACATGAACCCCACAGCTAGCTCAAAGGCCAAACGCAGCCGATCCACCTCTCCAAGAGACAGTCTACAGTCCTGCTCCCCGTGCTTCCCTGAAGGTAGGAGGTCTCCGTGGGAGCTGGAGGTGGAGTCTAGCCGCCTCTCTTCATCATCTGGCATCCCTCTCCCATCCTCCGACTCATCTGAATCGTCCCTTTCGTTGAGAGCTCTCTCAAAAAGCTCCTCTCTGGCTCAGCATCGTCAAACAGGAGCCCTTTTGACCCAGAGCACTCAGCCTTCCCGTATCCCGCTCCCGAAGCAGCCTCTGAGCCCTCGGCGCAGCCTGATCCTCGACGTGAAGCCGATCCCTGGTCTCAGGGCTTCTGTCTCTACTGCGGATATTTGCTGTGCTGTTTCACCGTCCCCTGATAAAACACAAGGTCAGACAATGAGAGAAGCACACACCCGTAGCTACACACTGATACACGGCTGAGGAGCTCCACATCTAACAAGATGTCCACATCTCTCCTGTTTTCAGCACGATGCAGACAGCTCTCTTTAAGTCTGGATCCTTCGCTGCCGAGTTCACTGCCAGTAAAGCAGAAGAGAGACACCTTTCCTGAGAGGTAAAGTAGATTTTAGAGAAGCACATCCTTTGGTATATATTGTCTTCTTTAACTTTTTCACATTGTGTTATATTACAGCTGAAAACTTACGTGTGTGTTCGGTGATTTCCTTTGATAGTGACAAGCAGGCTAGTGCATAACTTTGACATGCAAACCCCCCCCAAAAGGGTGTTCCAGAATCTAAAAAAGTTTGTATACCTTGATTTGAACCAGATTCTCTTATAGAACAAATCCTGTGTTTAACTCTATCCATCTTCCCAGTTAGTCTGACTAGCCTCTTATTCCCAGCTAAACAAAAATAATGTTTTTCCATCTAGGCCAAAAAAAGAGAGGTATTCCCAGATTATCTTTTCCTCTTTTTGCTGTGCAAAATAAAAAAAATATATAGCCTTAAACTTAGTGCCACTGTGGAGCAGGCTCCTCATCTGCAGACTCCACCCGGAGCTTAATTTCTGGCATTTGGAGGTTTTGCACATCTCTCTTTGCATATCTGTTGTAAATATCAACAAATGCATCCAATGCCACCAAATAAAATAAAAATGAAGTTGACTGCCTAAATCGTCTTAATCTTTGCTGTCTATTATACTGTTTTTTTCAGCTAATTTCTCCTGATAAACCTTCATGGAGCAGCTAGTTTTGTGCTAACACTAAAAACACTAAACACTAAAAACTGCACAACTCTATTCAATGATTATTCAACTTTTTCATCAACTGGATGCCAGGGATTTTATTTGGTGGTGTCAGAAGAAAACGGTAGAAATGAAGATCAATTAAACTGTTTTAAGATTAATATTTGATTTGATGCTGGATGAAAACTACAATTTCCTTATATTTTACTGTTATGTTCTACATTGATGGTCTGTCACATATAAACCCAATAAAATATAATGAAGTTTGTGGCTGTAAAGTAACACAATGAGGGAGAAAAATCCTTTTTCAAACTACTTTTAGGCTTTTCTAGGATGTTAAGCTTCCAGCTATAGGAAGAACATTTTATCTGTAATTAAGACATTTTCACAATTTATTCCCAGTGTTACGGAGGGAGGTGCAGCGGCTAAAGAGCGCCCTCTGGTGTCAGAAGAAGACCGGATTTTGGGCCAACAGACAGGTTTGACCTCTTAATCCATGCAGGCTCTATGTGCCTTTTTTCCTTTATTAATAACACTTTGTTTCCATCTGAAATGATTAGATCTGTATGCCTGCTTGAGATAATTCTTCTCCCTGTAACCATATAAAGAAGTACATACAAGTAGTTGAGACACTTTTACACAGATGTTAAGATTGTAGCTAAATGTTCCTGCAGTGCAAATATGGCTGCTTTGCTTCATTTTGTTTAGAAAACAGTAAAACTGAAAAACAACTTCAAGTGATAACTGTCCTGCTGGAAGATATAGGGTGTGAAATAAATTTTCTCTCCATTTCACGGCTCCCACAGCTACTTCTTCTCTTTAATGCTCTTCAGACATAATGTTTTCTCTGCTTTGGGGCTACCACAGTCAACATGCTGTACTGTATCTGTGTATCTGCACGCTCTGATTTGCAGCACCCTGTGATAAACGTGAAAGCTGTTCTCTCCATCTCCTCGCTGCAGATCATTCAGTCACCCCTGAGACTTGCAGGCAAGCCGTCAACGATCTTCACCAGAGTTTGAGGGAAACGATTGTTCTGTACACTGCGGTGAGTGAGTTTGAATTGCATGTGATTAGTAAGAAGGGACTTTAATTTTCAACTTTAGGCAATAGAAGCTGAGAGATTGGCCCTTGGCTAATTCACTTTAACACATTATTTGCAAAAGTCTAGTGCCATTTGATGATTCTGATATGATGAATTAATTGCAATAACTACCCCAGAAGATCTTTCACTGTCAAATATGGGGAGTACTGAGGCAGCAAAGGGGGGAATGATTTTCACAGTGACCATTAGGTGTATGGATGATCAAATGTCCCATGAGACGATTAGATAGTATTTGAATAATTAGGCGTACATTAAATCGTGATTTAACCAATTAAATTTAGTATTTAACGATAAATATTCATTTAAAATGATACAAGTAAATAACCAAATATATATATATATGTTTTATATCAAATAATTTAAAAAGTCACACATTTGTAAAATGTAGGTTAAATTAATGATTAATGGTTGTTAAAAGGGCGTTTAGTGTTATTTTGAGGTCCACAGGCTGAAATGTTTAGGGGCACCTGATCCAGATTAAATGACCATAACTGCCTGTTTATAGGATTAGATGGATCCCTTTCATGGCTCCAACTAAGATTATTCAGAGTGCTATAATACACCAGCTAATATCACTGCTACATTACAAGCATGACTAACTCCCAGTGGATTTAACCTTCTGGTTTTAATCCATTTTTTCATTTGAGAAAAAGAATTCAGAGCGGCCCGTCTCTGGTTTCAGTCTAAGCATACTGTTTTAGTACTTATGAGGCCCAGGCTCACTGTTTGTTGGATATATATGATAGAGAAACTAGAAGGGAGTATTGCCTGCTGAGACGGCACCCTGCATGGTTCTTGTCAGGGACAGGTTCTTCAGTGATGCTTAGCAGGATTTTTTCCATTACCTCTTCCTCACAGAGGAAGAGGTAATTTTTAGGTACATAGCTCGTGGCAAACTCTACACTGGACTTTAGTGGCTGTCCTTCAACAATGACTTCTCCTTCAAGTTATGAATCGCTGAAGCTCCTCCAGAGTTACCATTTGCCTTCTTCTCTAACTCCATTCTCCATTCTCGTCTCTCAGATTTTAGTTCACATAATTTCCTCCTCATACAAGGGATCCTTTTTGTGTCTTGACTGTTTAGTCTCTGTAAGATGATATGATAAGAGGAGCCAAAGTGGCAACAAAGAAAGAGATTAAAGACTTTTTTGTGAAGTTGAAGCATTCCCAAACCATTTTCCCACTTAAAAGATGTATGTATTTTTTAGCCACTTTGAAAACTGTTGCTATAAATTTAGAAAAGTTAGTGTCTTTAACCATGCCTGGTTTAATTAGATATCTTATATGGTTCAGTTCATCTCATCCCTCAGGCTGCATATCCATATCCATCCTATTCTACATCTAATGCTTACTCTGTGTTTTTACCACAGTTACTTAAAGACGACCAACCACAGAGTGAAGACCAAGAGGAGATGAAGAGCTTCCTGTCTGAAGCTCTGTTCAGGGTTAAGGCGGAGCTGCATTCGCTGCCTCTTAGTAGCTCAAAGAGCGAGGGGCCCCAAGCGGCCCCAGTGTTAAACTGCGATGGAGACAAAGCTCTGGCTCTGCTGGAGCAGTACACTGAGCTGCTTGTGAAATCTGTGGAGAGGAGGTTGGACACTAAGACCTGATTGATATTCTGACATGCGGAGAAGCTTTAGCACTGTGAACTGCACCATTTCTATTTGCACTAAACATTTCATGCACATGCTAACAATCCCCTTTAGAGAACATGAGAATGAGACTCTGAAATGGTTTTTAGTTGAAATGGACTTCGGACAAGTTGATTAACTTTTTATGCTGTTATTGTTTTCTGTTTATATCGTTAACATTTTAAATCAAAGCTGACAGACTTATCTTTTTATGGAGGGTAAATATAAAGCATTTCAACTTGCAAAGCACACTAGAATGTTAGGGAAACTGTAGGGCTATGTACATATTTATTAGGCTAATTATGGGGTTTCTGCTAGACTCTAATAATCTTGCCTTTCTTTATATACACAAGTGTTATTTTTTGTGATTTCAGAGTTACAATAATTTGGTCAGAATGGTAATGATTTTATGATAATTTTGATAACGTTTCTACATTTCTAGGTCATGTCTGTGCCAACAGGTTCTTTATTATAGAATCGTTCTGTTCTCTATGCAGTTTGTACTTTTTATTGTCTACTATCGTTCACCTATATCCTATTTATACTTTGGTTTCCGTTTTATATGCTCTGAAATTTTTTTCTCCAAAAGATCTTGTGTTAATCTGTGTACAGTTTCAAGTTGCCAATAAATAAATGAACTTAAAAAATTAAAACAACTTCTTAATCAGATTTTTATTTAAGAACAATAAAACTGCATTGAACACCTTAGTTAAGCATGTTTACTTCAATAAAGCTTTTTATGATTTTTTATTTAATTGAAAGAATAACGTAGACAACTAAGCTCTTCAGACAGAAAACTAAAGATGCCATAAATGTTTCATTTCATATAGACTGGAGATCCTGTCTATGGTAGCTTTATTGAAGATATATGTAATATTTCATTGTTAATGCATTATGGAAAAACAGTTAACAATATTGAATATGTGCACATTCTGATTTATTTGTTCAATGTATTACATACATAAAAGAACACTAGTGGAATCAGAAATATAAGATAAAATGCTTAGTTATTTAGCTGTTTGTCATTATGCTGGTGCTATTAAATTATAGCTTAATATATCCAAGCTTAAAGCAACAAAATCTGATAATCCTATTAAGTAAAACATTTGTTTTCATTTAAATAAATACTAATGTTGTAGTACTTTGTAAAAAGAAGAAAAAAAAAGTGGAATAACATCACGGTATTCCTTACATTTTTGAATTGGAAAAGCAATAATTCTATTAGTTCATACAGACTGGTTTAGTCATTCATATATATTTTTAACTTAGATTAAATAAAATGTTTCTCAAGTGTGAAATAAAACAAAGCAAAAAAAACAAAAGGAAAGAAAATTATAATTGAGCATATATTTGTTCCAGTCAATCGAATTGAATAGAAAATCTGTTGGAGTTTGTTCCTTCCTTAGGGAAGCGTCTCCACATTGACATAAGTGAGGACGACGTCATGCAGGATGTTGATCCGGGCGATCTGGTTCAGCTCTCTGACGCGGTGACGGAACTCAAACTGCGGGATGTTGTTCACCGCCACCCTGAAGGTCTCAGGAGTGCACAGGATCTTCATCTGGGAAAACACACAACAACACTTTTTGCTAAACTGCCTTTTTATGAAATCTGCTGCTGATTTAGGAGCAAAGCATCTGAAAAATCCCAGTCACTGCTTTAGTCAGACCCCTATAGGTTCTGCCCCACTTTCTTCTATTCATGCAGGCAGAAGGACTGCTGGACTCAGCTCCCCATATTAAACACCTTTTGGTTGTTACATGTAATAATCATTGATGTTAGACAACAGGAGACCCCACTGACCTCCAACAGTCTCCCTGCAGTAAAGCAGCACTCTTATCTAGGATCCGGCTGCACAAACGACTTCTCAACCTTTTCCAAATGTTAGCCTGACATTAACCATGAGAAAGTAACCTAGAGTCAGTGGCACTGACTGCCTATTGCAACAGTAGGTATTAAATTTTTGCAATATTTGCTGGCTGCTAAAGAGATGCCAGGAGTGTCTTTGTTTTTTATTGTAACCCTTTTAGAGGAGTGAGAACAAATTAATGTATTTCACTTAGGTCTTAAATCCTTGTGTCGGTCTTACTGGTTGTCTTACCTCAAAAGGGCTCCCAGCAGCGAAAGGGAAGGGTCCCTTTAGGTCCCTCTCTTCTGGGCCCCAGCGATCACCCACTTTGCTGTTCCGGACCACCACCTGCTTGCCCCCCTCGTCAAAGCGTGGGTTGATGTGCAAGGCGATGTCATTGCCTCTCAGGAAGTTCACAGTGAACCTAAGGGGAACCAGGCTGCTTATATTTTATCCTTTTATTTTCTGCATAAACTCCTGTACTAACTATCCTGCATGGCATTTGGTGTCATGTCAGCTGCAAATGCCTTTAGGTCTTAAGTTGGGATTTAATGTGACTGATCAACACAGATCTTAAGAAGACAAATGATTGATTTTAGAAATAAAAGGCCAGAATTGGAGATGGGAATCCCCCGACCCATAATGGTGTAGGCATGTGTTTCTTTTTTACTTCCCTCATTGGAAAAACAGTATTAAGAAGTTAAATTTTCTTGAATATGATCAAATCTTCTCATTTTTAACTATCGTAGATCTGCCAAAGGGGTAGGCAGAAAGTTGCTTGCTAGAATCCTTAAAACTTGTTAAATACATTTTTTTGAACTGACATATTGCTTAACATTAAAATAAGAAATTATAGCAATAAATTGCTAAAACATAGCTGAAGTAGCAAAAAGAAGAGTTACTACTCAGGATAATTTTTTCTCTTCTCTTAGTATGTCTGTAAACCCTTTATACGGCAAATTACAGTTTTTCATCACTTGCATACTCCTTACAAATGTCCACCCCCAAATCTTATTTTGGCATTTGACCAATTAGATGAGCCCTTAAATAAAATAATATTACCTACTGTAAATTAAGTTGAAAAAAAGGGTAACAAGTCAAGAAAAAAAAAGATAAAAGGCTAATTGAAAAGTTAAAAAGTAAAGTTAAACAGTTAATAAGCCTAATAAACCTTGATATTTAGGTTTTTAACAAAAAAATGTAAGTGCCAGTATAAACATTAATGCCTCTAAGGTTATGTTGTACCAAAATAAGTGTCTATTTCACTCTCAGAGTATGTTTCATGAATTTCTTATAGAAGCCCTTTTGTTATTTTTCTTAATATATTCGGGCAAGTTGGCGTTTCTTGTTATTACATTGACATTATTATTATTTTTTTTTATTATTAGTTTTTTTTTTTTTTTTTACAAAATATCCATATTTTTTGAATGTTACAAAGCTAATAATGTCTTGTCCTGGATTCCAATAACACTATTGGCTTGAAATTTATATTTTTAAAGTATGTAACTGAGTGCACTATAAAGGGTTAACAATGGTTTTGTCAAATTTATGAAAATTGAACAATTTGAATTGCCTCTAAGCAAAGCAAAACTAGGATATAAAGGAGCAGCAAGATATAAATATACTGTAGGATCAACCTAAATAATCCTTATTTATCACCTGGGATGAAAATACCATTCTCTGTGTTTTTCTCCATTCAACCCAAGAGTTACGGCCCAGATCTACTTTGGTGTAGCTTGTATCCCGTGTTTACTTTCTGGTGTCTGAGCCAATCATATGAGAGGTCCAGGGTTGCCAAAACAGAGGGCAGCATTTGGTATTTAATGCTGGCAAAAAGAGCAGCAGTCTGCAACCATGTAGAGAAGATAACTAAAAATAGTTTCAACAACACCCAAGAAGCCTTGGGTGTTTTTGTGCGAATACCTATATTTGCACAACAATTTTCTGTGGCTGAACAGTCTTCACTCATCGTCTTTAACTTAACTGAGCTACGTCCTCATCTCTTTTGACTGGACAAGCATAAAGATACACTCTCAAAAGGAGAGAAGGAGCACTGTGTGTTTGATGTGCTACTTTTTTAAGACATTTCATTATTATTAAGTCCGATCAAATAGATAAAGCCAAGCTTGAGTTTCTAGGTTAACATATTAAACTTAACTTAATCTGTGGGAGGAAATTGAAACTGATTTTCAGGGTAATTCTCTGACCCAAATAAAGACAAGGAATGGTTAACCTTAAACAGCCTTAAGAGAGACATCCATGACTATCTTCAGGTGGTTGTGTTGGTCTGTTCCATAAAATCCCAATGAAAAGGACATGTTAAAATAAGAGCTGTGAATGCATCTATGAGGCTCACATTTTAGCGTTTGGTTTGATGTGACCTAGGATCGTCATCATCATTTTGTCATATACTCCTCGAGCCAGGTTTAAGTTGTACGGCACACTCTGCATGGAGAGAGGGAGGTAACATATACCTTAATTAAAGCACAGCAACACCATTGTATTGCAGATTTATCTTTGGGTTCTTTAGTACTGACCATAGGTCCGGATGTGGGGGGAAGCCAGTGTAGAGGCATCATAGATGGGTTCTGTCCAGGCCATCCTGACTGTCCCGGGTTATAAGGCCAACCAGGGTGAGCTGGCCATCCTGGTACACTCGGATGGATGGTGGCCGCAGGGGCAACAGCAGGAGCTACGGCTGGAACCTGAGTTTGAATGGGAGCTGGTTGCTGGATCGGCTGGTACTGAGGGGCTGGCCAGCATGGCTGACAGGGCTGCTGAAATGATGGAGCTTGTACAGGCACTGCGGTTGGTGCTGGTGGTGTTATAACTTGATTCGGTGCCGAAACTGAAATCGGAGCTGGAACAGAAACTGGTGCTGGTTGTGAAGCAGGCCAGCAGGCCGTGTTTGGTTGGCCGGTCCAGCATGGCACTGGCTGGGTTGGCTGCCCAGGCCAGGCGGGGAATGCAGCTCCAGAAGGCGGTAGGTTGGGCCAAAGGCCGCTGGCCTGTGGGGCAGAACCAGAGGACGGGCAGCTGCCACACAGAGCGTCAGCATGCTGAGACGGAAGAGAGGGGGAGGATGGTGAGTGAGGGGGGTCAGGAGCCAGCAGGGAGATACGTGGAAGAGAAAGAGTGGACAGGATGGAGGAAACCAACTTGCAGATGCAAACGTAAGCAAAAATTTCAGCATTTATATTCATAAGGGGTAAAAGTATTATTCTTACCAGTGTGGCGATCTGAGAATTTGATGTGCTACTTACGTCCATGCTGCCTGTCAGAACAAATCTGGGTTCAGTTTACCTTTTTCAAATTCTCACAGAAAAAAGTCAATGAAATAACTGGAAGTTTTTGAATCTGTGAGTTAATGTAGCAACAAATATGGTAACCCACCCAAAAAAGGTTATTTGATAAGTAAAACCTACCAAACCTTCTGACTTAGATTTAAAGGTGCTGTCTTTTGAATATTTGCAGATTCTATAACCTAAACACAGTTGTCCTTTTCATAGTTTGTTATTAAAGTAGGAATAAATGTGCATTATTTTTTCACAGAGACATTTATGATTTGTGTTCCATGAAATATAAAGCTTAGAATAATCAATCAGGAGAAGAAAACCTGAGTGTGTTATGTCTGATTTTTTTAATCTAATTACACCAGAACGGATCCTAAAAAAACAATTAAACTCAAAACTCTTCAGCTGTTGTTGCATCCTTTGCTTTTTAAAGCAATATCTCATCTGACATTTTACAGTTCATTTAATTTCAACAAGCATCTACTGAAACTATCCCATGTGTTTACATTCACTGTATGAAACTAAAGAGAATGATGCTTATTGGGTGTTTGGTTTGCATTTATGTCTTGATCATTTCGGGGTTCTTTTTTATGATGTCGCCTTATTCGGCTGTTTATCACCATTATTGCGGTTTTACTCCATCAGTTCATCACTTGTGTAAAGTTTGTTTGCTATTTTTTTGATTTCTGTGAATTTGGACGAACTTTTTTCAGTTTAATTTGCTCTATAAGTCTGCTTACCTTCCCTCAGTTTCGCTCCTCCACATTCCCTTTATTTAACTCACCTTAATTGGGATCTTAAATAACTCAATTTCAGGTATTAATTAGGGTCCCTCAACCACCCCATGTATTGAGATGTTTACTTAATATTGACACATACCATGCTTTGTGACGTCCTTTCTGCTCGCAGAGACACCCAAACAATAGGGATCTACCACCCTGGTACTTCATGTTCTCCCTCGGGCAACTTTTCCCTGTTTTTCCTCCAAAGTAATGGTGTTCTTTACTTAAATACTTGAATTATTGTTTTATCCGACCACAGGATGCTCTGAAAATTACATTTTTAACTGTAATCTGGCTAGTTAGATATGTTCTGAGTGGCCTTTTAGCTCAGGTCCAATACTTGCTTTATGGTCAACACCTTCATCACATCTTCTGCTTTTATTGGGTTGATAAAAGACTTTTAAAAACGGAATACATTAATAATAGGAGAGCAGAAATGTTCTCCAGAACTTATACATTCTGTTTGTACTCGAATAGGATTATTTTGAGCCGATGATTAAGGCATCATGAGGAATATATATATATATATTTATATATATATATATATATATATATATATATATATATATATATATATATATATATATTTAGGTAAAGCATGTTTAGACAAATTTTTGGAAAATAGAAGTATTTTAATCGTACCTTAAAGCACTAATGATTTAGCCTGAAGTCTGTGAGGAAACATGGCTTATTAGATAAATTTATGAAGGCAATTGGTTTTAACTTTAGCCTTTAGTTTTTGTTTAGCTGCATCTGCTCTATTTTCCATTTTTTCAATCAGATTTTTTAAATTTATCTTGCTTTTAGATGAAAAACATCAATAATGGTATCGAGATAATGGTAAAATAACCCTTTTCTAAACAAATTAATTTATCAGAAATTTGGATTTTAGTGTTGCCATTAATGTTTTACTTAAATAAAAAAAGTAAGGTTGTTTTATAGATTGGTAGGGAATCTGCATAAGAAACAGATAAGAACTTTGGTTACCTTTCTTTGCGTTCGGTCCTCAGGTGCAGGTTGGAGCAGGTTGCAGGTTCTGCCGTGGTTCTGGATGTTTGACTGCATCTGAGCACAAATAAAAAGCCTTTTATAGCCCCAAATGCTCACACCAACAGGCCCCTCCTCACCTCAGCATTCCTTTGCCAGACTAAAACAGCTTTCTATGTGTAAAAAAAACTCTTTTCTGTTCTCTTCATGGTATTTCACACAGGTTTAATGTGTAACTGATGTTCAATATTTCTCATGCAAGTTTTAATGATCTTAAAATAAAAATGCAGGAAAGAAAGCAACAAAAGCACAAGTTGAATCTGTACATTTTTCATCTATTGTTGTGACTCCTATAAACATGTGAAACAATAAATAGGTGAAGTGTTATGGTTCCAGATGAATTTCTCTGTATTTACCAGAGGTTTTTAGACAGCACAATGATTTGTTTTTCATGCTGACAGTGGTCAGTTTCACCGTTTAGCAGTCATGGGACAGTGATGCACTCAAAGAGTAACACAATTATTGGAGATGGACGAGGAAGTCAGGACCTGCCGCTGTTTTCTCTATGGTCACATGACTCACACAGGGATGGCTGAAAGGTCACACATCGCCTCATGGTTCACCTCCACATTTATTTCATTGTTTCCCATCTGCTAAATCTCCTGCTTCTGCTTTAATACTCAATATTATTCCCCTCTCCACCAGCTTTGCTCCGTCCTTCATAAACATGACGGATTGCAGGGGTCAAACTCAGATGAAAAAATAGTTCTGTGATTATCCAATAAATCCCCACGGCAACAGCGTCATAATAACACACATGGATTCACACAGTCAATGTGCTTTGCATCACCTCGTTATTAGATTACCCGTCATCTGAGCTGAAAAATGTCTGAAACGGCAAATGCTCCTAGAATGACATAAACTACCAGCATTCCCTAAGCTGGTTTTACAATTTTAAACCCTGACTACACACAGAAATCAACAGTATGTTCACTGTAATTATTTTTGTCACTAATGGCCATGAAACTAAAAGACTTTTGTTTGGATTTTAACAAATAAATCTTAATGATGCAACAATGGCTGTTTGGTGAGCAATACAGTACCAGCAAAACAATATGACAAGAAGAAAAGAAAGGTTTTTAAAGATCCAGTACCAAATTTTAATTTTTTTTACACAACAACTTTGTACTTCATTCTATTTTTGAGGGATATATGAAACAGGTCGTCACAGAATGCTGCAAAATTGCAAAGTGGAAGGAAGGGTCAACCCCAATCTGACAAGTCATGTTGTCCTCCATGAAGGTGAACCTTTGTCCTTGTTCCAAATGTTGTGCTTTTAGCTTCCAACAGGTCCATAATAACTCTGGGTGGCTGCAGTTCTTCATCCCTCAGTCTGGGGAGGCTATCAGACAGTCAAAGGCTAATCAGGCCTTTATAGAAGAGCAGAGAGAAGAAAGCAATGGTTGGAAGGAAATCATTGGGACTTTCACACCAGCTGATTATAATTCAGCTTAAGCAAAATAGAACACACCAAATAGGTAGTAGGGGAAAACATATTTAACGTTAGACATATATAAGAAGAAGGGGCAAAAGTCCTGGTCTCTGGGTGTGCAAAGCTGGAGTTATATCAGACTTACAGCTTTTACCTGTAAAATTTCCATCGTGGTGCTCTACAGATTACACAGTTGTTATGTATAATGTTGGGCTACCTTTCTTAATGTTGGTATTCTTCAAACATAAACAAATGTTCCTCTAAAGGTGCTTGGCATTACATTTCTTTCTCATGCATACTTCCAGAACAAATCTTCACTGGGAAGCATTCTGAAGCATACGGTCTACAGTTTGTTTCCTGTTTGGACCGTAAGCCTCCTGAGAGCACAAACTGCCAACATTAACTTCCTCAACCCTTCTAAGAACTCAATTTGGCCTCAGCTGCAGGACTAATTTGATGAAGAGCCGTGATAGGCACATACTGCATGCATAACAAATATAGCTCAGTTTCAACTTGAGAGCAAATTACAGTGCTTCACTCCAGTGGATGTTTACCATGTGGTTCTGACATGTGCCTGCTGATGAGAGTGAACGAGTAATGATGTCACTCAGAGGAGATCTTCTTTTTGTTGTATCAGCCAATGAGAGAAAAAGGAGGGAACCATGAGGCATGCTGCTGTTGGGCAGAAGAGAGCTTTCTGGCAGGAGAAAGGCTTTCCAAAGTGACGATGGAGGCCTTAGCCTCTGATAAGCTCTGGCCCTGTTCCAGAAATTGTAAGCTCCAAACTCCTCACATCCAGACGCTTTCTACCCTATCCCTTCATCATGTCTTTCTTCTTAAACACACAATAACTGAATGAGGGAAGTGCAAACAGGCAGTTCTGTGGGGTAATCCCACTGTGACTGGCATTTCTGATTTGTTTTGCTTTTGTGCCTTCTAAGACTGAGTGAAAGATGAAATCAGAGGGAGTGTGTGTAAGAGATAGTAAGAGTGAGAGAAAAGCTTTCAGATACAATATTGCTTCAGTTGCCATGGGGACTGTAGTATGTTTTTCTTATTGTAGAGGCCTGAGTGTTTGTAAGAGCGTATCTTTCTTTGAATGTCACATAGAGAGATTATTATTACAAATTACGACAGGGTCGTTCTCCACATACGTTCTTGTTGATGTGTGAGCCATAAACCACAATGTAGTAAACTGACCTTATAAAGCCATGCACTTCCATAGAGCACCACTGGATGGAGACATGAAAATTTACCTTGGGGTGGAGGCTCATGTGGAAGCTAACCCTAACAAAATGTTCTGCTATGCTCCTTTTGACAGCTGACATTTACAAAACAAACAAACACTCCCCATTAAGAGGCTTGATGATCAACTGAAACATCAGTTTGAAAAACTTCACTAACTGTTCTGACTGTCTTCTTTCAGCCAGCGTGAAATGTGTTTCTCTTCATATCAACCTTTACAAAGCTTTAAACCAGATGCCTCACTTTGTTGTGAAGCTGTGCATCCGGAGTTCCAAATTCAATTAACATTTTCATTTCAGTTTATCTACATAGCATCAATTCACATTACATATCAAGACTCTTTACAGGGACAATTGAACCAAATCACAGGTTGGGTTTAAGTTATCTATTTAAGGAAAACCAGCTGATTGCATTGACTCATTGACTCTTCAACAACCCCTCACACTGAGAATACTTGAAACAACAGTAGAGTGGCACACTCCTTTTTAACCGAAAGAAACATCCAGCAGAACCAAACTCAGTGTGAATGGCCATCTTTCGAGGCTGACTGGGGTTTAAGAAGAAAGAAGCAGACATATAAAAAACAGCCAAGATACAAAAGGTAACTGTTAGCTAACTCCACAGTTGGCTCTATCCAGGAAAGATAGTCATTCAGATGAGCTCCGAGCCAGCTCCCATGTCAGAGGATGAAAGAGAGCATATACAGTTAGGGGTGAACTAAAAAATACTACAGAATAGGAAAACAGAATTACACTGAAAAAAAACAATGCACCCGTTTTTGGCATTTACTTAATCATATTTAGTTACTTTAACACAATTGTTTCATGTTACCAGGGTAGGACATAAAAAACATTGTGTTAAAGTAACAAAATATCATTAAGTAAATGCCAAAAGAGGTTGCATTGGTTTTTTTCAGTGTAGAATGAAGCAGAATGATGAAAGGTTGGCCTTTATGTCCTCCAGCATTCTAAACCTATAGCAGCATAACTATGGAAATAGAAAATGAGTCCTTAAATATTTTTAACAACATATAGAGGCTTAAAGCATTCATGAACACAAGCTTTGAAGTCTTGTTGTATTTTTTAAACAGGTTTAAACTGTGAACTTAAAGCCATTCTTAAACACAGGCTCCTATATTGCAGATTATCTAAGGACAAGCTAAACTACGCTTTCTCTCAATTGACCTCCTTTCTGTTAAATGCAGAGTGAATTTCCCCAATGTGGGACAAGGATTAGGATCTATATCTATACATGATTTACATTTTTTAAATTTATGTAGTACTTTGTGTTTTTAATGTGATAATGCATCTGTTGCGATGGCCAAAATAGATTCAGCTCCATAACTTATATGCCATATAGAGTGAGTTGAAAGAACACATCTCTTCCATGACTCTGTCTCTGTTCAAATGTGAAATACATGCTCTGTTCGAAAACCTGTGACGCGTCCTTAGAAGGCCAGATTCGAAGGACGATGATGTCATAGCGCGGTGCCGAGGTCTGGTCAGATTCCAAGAGTCCTCGTTATGCGTCCTTAAAATGCGTCCTTCTTTTTGCCCGATTTGAAGGATGGGTCCGGTGTATCCTCAGTATACTTGGATATCCCAGGATTCATTGCGAGACCAAGCAAGCCGTGATAAGAGTAAAGCTTAGTTGTCGC